TTGGCATTTTAGTTCAACATCTAGTTATCATTATTTTTGCACCTAGTTCAACCTGAAGTTATTGTTTTTACTAAAGATTTACAATGCTAAAGATTTTTTTTAAAGCATCTTTGTACACACTTTCTAAACCCATTTAATGACTTTAAAATGCATAGTAAAAAGCAGCCTACAAAAATCTGTTAAGCACATCAGCTAAAAAAAAAATGAGGGGATAAAAAGAAGAAAAAAAAAAAAAAAAAAAGGAAGCTTTAGTAGGTAATCATAAAGTGCTTTTTGTAATCCATGAATATATATTGCCTTTCCAGCCATTTGGTATCCTCAGATGAAAAGAGTTTCATTTGCAGAGGAACACTGATTTCACATAATTTGCAAGAAATAAAAGAAAAGGTTCAGAAAGTTTAGGTCACTAAGGCAACATGAATCAGAGCAATTTTGAAATATTCCATCTAAACAAACTGGCAAAAACATGAAGAAAATATTACCTGTGAACTGGACTGTTGCACATGAAACATATTAGGGAGTAGGTAAACATACCACCTCACATGGCTATGGAGTAAAGCTAGGGGAATGACTAAAAAGCGACATTCAGGCCATCCAAAGCCTATGGCACTTGCAATAGATTGCACATAAAACAAAAGACAATGAAAGAGTCACGGAGGTTTCATGACAAGTAAAAGAAATTCTGCAACTTAAAAAAAAGTCAGAACAGCAGTTAGTCCTGTCAGTCATCCTCAGTGAAGGTTTCAGCATCATAAATATAAAAATCAAAATACTTAAGTCATCCTTTTTCTTGGGAGCAGCCATCCACAAAGATATATATGAAATATGATGGTCAGCTATATATTCATAATACATACTACAATACATCATACCAACAACAAATACAGGTAGTTCCCACTGATCATTCAAATATTCCCTGCAGCCCCAAGAATAACACGCCATGGAAACTGCAGCTGGTGCAGAAGAGCATGATGCCTGCCTCCTGAGCACGATTTCTCTCCAAGATCCACACTTTATACCATGAACTCTCTATTGATTTCCAGGTGAACAGTAAAAGGTACAGCCTTTGATAGAGAGAAATGTAAAATGCCCTGGCTACCTGAAAAAATACCTTTTATCTTTGAGTACATGTTGGAATCACCTCGAACACAGAAAATTCAGATTTCAGAGATGGGAGAGGTCCTTTGACTGAAGGACTGCCCCACTTCTGCAGCCTTTGAGCTCCTCTTGACAACATCAGCTTCTATTGTCCTCTGCTCCATCCTCTACCAATTTCTCATATTAATAGTTAAAAGGGATAGGGACCAGAATTTATTAGGACAAGCATTTTATTAGGGAACAATTGAAATGATGTAATTTTGTGGTAGGGAAATTAGGCAAAAATGTGTTGATTGAGCTCTCTATTACAAATTCTACACATTTTTGCAATACTTTGAGCACATGCAACTTAGTAAAGGTGCCAAAAAAAGTAAAGGTACACTAAAAATCACATGGCCAGGCTGGAAGCAGATCGAGACCACAGCAGTGCAGAAGCAGTGGAGACACCGTTGGCTTTCCTCTCAAACCACAGACACATGCTGTGCAAGCAGCAGTCACAGATCACATCGCTTTAACCAAGGTAATCTTTTTTAATTCTTTGCCTTGAAGGGCAATTGAACACAGTGGGAGGAGAGGACAGAAACCATGCCAACTCGTAATATTGCCAAAAGCACAGGTTTTTCCCTTAAGTGCAATATGCAAAGTTCCCAGTGCGGGGATGCAAGGCCTCCACACTACTTTGTAAGGGGTTCTGGTTGGCAGCAGCTCCCTTCTGCTGTCACCAGCTTCATCTCCAGTCTCTCATAACTCACATCGACATATATGTGCCACAGATCAAGCCAGATCCCATTGCTGTACATTCAGGTAAATTTATAATCAAGCTCAAGAGGGAAGAAGGTCAATGGCAGCAGGAAGATATATGTGTCGATACACAGCCAGCCAGCACTTCTTCAGCTCAACCACACAATGAAATGATACAGGAATTCGAAAGGCACCTATTGCTTTACACCTGTTGTATGGCAAATGTTCAAAGTGTTAGCCAAACAAAGAGTTAATGGAACTTGCATCATTTTTTACAGTGTAATCAGTAAATTACTAGGCCTACTTCTCTAAAATTTTACATTTAAAAAAAAAGCAGAAATCACTAGTGATCTGAATTTCACACAGTAAGCAGTCTCTTAGGATTTTATACAACAAAGTAATGGGCGAATCTAACCTGAATGAAAGCAGAAAGTGAACATGCCAAGATGAGTTTCATTACACATGTCTGATGTGCAACATGTGAAACCAAACCAATTTGCTTATTGATGCAATCATCAGCCAGAAACAAATAGCTGCTTGGCTATTTCTCCAATAAACAAAAAAGCCCAGCCTAAGAGAATACTGCTTCACTTTCCTCAGTAACACAGTCCCATTCACTCTGCTGCTTCCTCACCCCAGGGCATCACTTTTATCTGACTACAGAAAGAGAAATCCATCATCCACTAGGAGGATATAGCCTACTTTGTTTCACTTTCCTGCGATACTACCACAAATACTTAAATAGACAGAAAAGTAATGGAGTTGATAGGAAGGCAAGGGCTTGGTACCACTGATCCTGCTCCAATCTGTAAAAAGCCAGGCTTGCCCTGAAAGCAAGTTACTGCACACATTACTTTACATTTTAAGAAAGGAATGACAGATTTTCTGTGTTTGGAGGCAGGTATGTATCTTTTAGTCCTTCCAAATAATAAACTAAGATCACAATTTTTTTATTCCATCCAGGGAATGGAACTTTTATTTCCATTCCAGGGGAAATAATTTAAAAAGCTGAAATACATCTCAGGAAATGCATTAAAAAAAAAACAAACCCCACTATTTGCCACATGCAGCTGGTCATAAATATCAAGCACAATAATTCTGAGTACAAAAGCGTCATTCAAAACAACTCAGTCTGATTTTAAATTCTCCATCTTCAACTACAGCTAAGGACACATCTCAGAAACATTTTGGCAAAATGAGAAAACCAAGTATTAAAGTTGTTTGAGAATCCCTAATTCTCAACCATTTTTACCATAATGCACTTGTTGTGTAGGTATTACCAGCTTTTCCAAATAGACGTCATGTCTCCGTTCTGCAGTGTGGCATGAGGGCTTAATCCTTCAGCAGTCAAACTGGGCACATGCCAAAACAAATAGCCCTCTTTTGACCCATTTTGCTCATTTTTCTTCCCACTGAGCCTGTAGCCAGGGGAACACAGCAATGTATATCTCAGTCTCATCCTATGTACCTGTCCTGGCTTGGCTACCTATATCAGGTGCTAGAAAAATTTCTGTATCTATTCCTGTAGCATTTTAGATAAAGCTATAAACAGTCAGAGCCAATCCGACAGAAAAGCAGCAGCAAAGTCAGGCTGTCATGGAATGGCCAGAGCCATTGTTGGACCACCTATTCGCCCCTCCGTCCGTCTATCTTCCCCAAGAATACGTCATAGCAGTGATGCTCCTTCTTCTTTGGGGGATACCACCTAGGCCAGAGATTCCTCAATTTCTCATGGGATGGAAGGGGTAACAGGGCTACATTACCTCAACCAACAACTACTTTTGAAATAGCAGATAGCCCCTGTACTGTTCCCCCTGTTCTTAAAATACAACCTCTTCCTGCTGTGAAGTAATTCAACTGTTTCTCTAGTTCAAGAAACAGAAGTCTGGACTAGAGGTGCTGAATCTGGATGGTGCTGTGTAATATGGGAATTATTCATTTCTCAGCAG